AGTTCACTGTAGCACTGTAGCACTGCTACAGTGCTCGGTACACCTGAGTGTACTGCTCGGTACACCTGGGTGTACCGAGCGGTATACCGTACCGTACCGGTACCGAGCCCGGGTTGAAACGCCGGTACGGTACGGTACGGCGAACCTTGATTTTGAATATAACCTTGTCGGATCATTGATCAAGATATTGTGCCCCTTTGGTTTTTTTGTTCGTATTATATGCACATGTTATCAGACATTGTGTAGGTACAATGCAACATTGTTTCCATGTTGGGATTGTGTTATTAAAGAGAACAATGCAATAGAAAATGTTATCTGTACCCTTATTAGGATCTCATCATACTGGTTGTACTGATTGGTATGTTGTTCGGCATATGGGTACACAATTAAAATATATGAGAACTTTGTTTAATATGTTTGTATTAACCCATATGGGGTGCATTGATATACTAAACAGTATGGTAAGTTGGGTATGTGACAATGTTTGAAATCAATGTTCAGTTTTGATTAACTTAATTGGGTTGTGGAGTTGCTATTTTATTATTTCCTTTTAAATCCATTAAAATCTATTTGTATGAACTGGGATTGGCTACTAATTTTGCTGGAACTTGTTGGACCATGGGAATGGGAATGAAGCAAGCTCAGATGATTGATGGGTCAGCTTGTCATTGCCTGGCTTCCACTGATTCTTAGCTGTTTTGATAATCCACTTGGAAAATGAGGGTCTTGGAATTAGACATAGTTGGTCAAACAAACCATGACGCTAGATTATACCACTTCCATGAGAAGTGTTTACTGTGACGTTCATTTTTTTTTCCTAGTGTTATTTAATCTGGCACATGGAGTTATGAATTTCCATTTGAACACATGAAGAATTATGATCAAATTGTATTTTTCTAGCCTTGTTATGATATTGCATCTTAACTATTGACTCAGTGGAGATCAAGAAGCTTGACAGTGCCACTAAATGCTTTTTGTTTGATTCTCAAGAATGCTTTGTTTCTCAATTGTATCTTCATTTGACATCTTGGTTTACACATTTTGCAACAAATGATGGCAGTTCATATCAAATGCTATCATAACAGCTTGATTCTTGCTGGTAGTTAAATAACATTTTGGTGTAGAATTCTCCTCCTGAAATTCGTCTCATCTACATGATACCACAAAGTTATTAAGTTGCCATTTTCTAAAATCATGCCGGTATCGGATTTATAATTATCAGCATAAGTACAAAATTTGAATAATACAAGCTCAAAACTGTCTTTTCTAGGCTGTGCCTGATGATGCTTCGAAGATCGCTGGCTTCCAAAATGTCATCAAACGTACTGCTGATTTTGAGACCTTTTTGAAGGAAATGAAATTGATTTCATCAACTGACAGGAATGAAGAGAAGTTGAGTTATTTTGCTCATGATGTTGAAGTTCATTTTGCTTCCAGGAAGAGGAATGAGATTTTGGCAAGTGCTAGAAATTATCTTCTACAGTTCAACTATGATCTGCCTCCCGTGAGTCCATCAAAATAGATTTTTCTGATGCTTGACCATCTTGCGTGTTGCATTCTTTATGTATATTGCCATAAATGTTGCAGGCAAATATGTCAAGTGTTTCCTTACAGGCTTCTGATGGTGGAGAAAATTGTGTGTCTGTTGTTGGTTTGCTTTTCCAGTCTGATAAGTGTCTTGTTTCTAAGGCAGTCTTTCACCTAATGGATCTAGTGCACAGAGCACTTAAGGTATGTTGGCTTTACTATTACAAAACTATATTGTTTTCTCTACACAAAGAAAAACGGTCTATCATCTTAGCTAATTATTAGCATGCTTGAAAATAAATTTTAACATGCCCTGTCAATTACACACCTTAAGTATTTGCGTACTTCCAGCTAACTTGACCGATCTTACATGACCTGTAGAATGTATTTTGTTAGGACAAATGTGAGAACTAAGAAGCCACATTATTAAACATTATGTGCAATATACTGCAAATCTTTGTAGCTTTCTTTTCATTCTTCTCTTTTGTATTTTTTACTTGCATTTGTTGTGTCCGTTTAGCATGTGTATCCGACTGTCTGATTTGTTTTTATATATAATGGAGATATGGAATTCACCAGGAATAAACTACTTAATAGATCATATTTGATACTTGTGTCTCCATAATGAAAACAGAAAATTTTAGAGGTTGGACATATAAGAAGAAAGCCTCTAATTGTCAAGTTACTTGGTAAGTGTGCAGCCATAAATTTGTATTTGACATGCAGAGTTAGAAACATATCCGACACATTTCCTAGAGTTGACTCTGGTCTGGGTAACAATTGTAAATTGAAGATCGATGGGAATTTGAGTTTGTGATTTAGCAGTCTCCTTTTTCTAATGAAATAATCTTTTCTCTATAGAGTTTGAACTAATGATCACTTTACATGTAATTGGTATGTCAAAGGGAATATTTTTTGTGCAATTTCCAGACAAACCAGTTGTTTTGCCTTGTTCATACTTGAGAACAAGTATGCTTGCTAGGATTTCATGTGCTAGGTGGTGTGACCCAATGCCCAACCATTTCAATGGCAGATCTGTGATGTGTGTTGATGTATATTCTTGTTGCCAATGTGTAGAACTTTCATTGATGAATTGCCTCTCTCTCCTATTCTGCAAGGTGAAAATCCTTGCATGGTGATCTCAGCTACGATAAATTCTGTCATTTATCTCCTTTGCTTATTAGTATGCTTTATTTTTGCTTGCATTTTGTTCTCTGACTAGCAGATAATATCTTTGAATGTAATTTTGATTAATGAACAACCAGTGCAGGATGCTTGTTTGTCGCCTACAAGAGTGGCAAAGGAGTTTTATCATGCTGCAAGGGATGCTCTACTTTTATACAGAGCTGTTATACCCATTAAGGTCTGTGTAATCGTTGCAAATACCATATGGATTTCTTTAGCTGAATTCTTTGAACCTTTGAAGTTTGAATGATTCTATGTAAAATTGCAGCTTCTTGGTTTTGCACAAAATATAATTGCTTGGTATAAATAGCATTGACATTATACTTTTTTAAAATAAATTTGCTATTTTTTGGAGAAAAATAAGCTTTAGGTTGATGCATTTATGCTAGTAATCTATCCTCCTTGAAAGACAACAAAGATTTCCAGTTCTCCATATTACATTTTGTAATTCAGCCATATTCAAGAATTAATAGAAGTATTAACACATCATATTTATTCTGCATTTTGTAGTGTAGAATTCATATGCATCTCTATTATGACAAGTTATGCTTACTACTCTATGTTTGTTCGTGAAGTTAGGGAAGAAGTTGGAGAGTATTAGTCAAGTGGCAATTATTATCCACAATGAATGTCAATATTTGTCCCAGGAGAATCTTGGACTTGCCTTTGAGGTTTGTGTCAATTTGCATTCTGCAATATTGTTCTTTATATAGCTTTAACATCAAGGTGTTTGATTAAAATATTTTTGTTTTTCATGTGACTAGTTTGTCAAATATTTTCAACACATGGCAACAGCAACATTAATATTTGGTGTTGCAGTAAGAATATTGAAGTCTCTCTCAAAGGCAAACTGTATAATCAAGGAAAAAATGTGCAGTTTATATTATAAATTCAGTTTTACAATGTTCCAATTCCATAGGGAATTTTGTTCTTCATTAGGTTGGACATATATAATCATTTTTCTTTTTGGGTTCTTCTTAAACAAGTAGATTTTCTTAATAGTTGCTTAAGTAGAATTATGTATAGATTTGGTCTTTCCTATTTTATGCATGCCTTAGAGGTTGATGCTGTTGCCTATTAGAAGCCTCAGTTTAGAGCAACCATAAAGTTGTTATCTTTCTTTGTGTCAATGTAAGTTGCAATACTGCAAGGACCTATCTTTCAGTTTGGCATCATGTTATATAGTGAGCCTGCCCCCTGGTCAACATTTCTTTGCTAGGAACGTAGGATCTTTGCTTATGAACCACATTGAGTTGTCTCGTGTGTAAAAAAAGTTCTAGACCATTTCTTGATGTTTAAATCTTAACACCACAAGAAAAAATGATGATAATACATTTACGTATATGTTTGCGTGTACAAAATTTTTATTGGGAGGACTGAGGCCTCATTTCTATCAACTCAAAATTAGTTGGCTCTAGTGTGTAAAAAAAGGTTCTAGACCATTTCTTGATGTTTAAATCTTAACATCACAAGAAAAAATGATGAGAATACTTATATGAACCACATTGAGTTGGCTCTAGTGTGTAAAAAAAGTTCTAGACCATTTCTTGATGTTTAAATCTTAACCACAAGAAAAAATGATGAGAATACATCTATGTATATGTCTGTGTGTACAAAAATTTTATTGGGAGGACTGAGGACTCACTTCTATCAACTTAAAATTAGTAATGGAGACTAATCTCATATCAGCTTCATCTAACAACCTATAATATATTTTGTCTAACATTAGTAGAGATTTATTTGAACTAGTTGAATTTTGATGTCATTTAACAATATTTAAACGAGGGTCAATCATTTTAATCATTAAGGTAATCTAGATTGTGGTTTTTAACTTTTATGCATAAATTATTTTATACATTTTGTTTTTGGTTTTTTAATATTACGAATGTCATAGATGATGTCTAGTAAATCTAATCATCAGTTTAAAGCCTCCATGATTGATTTTGAGGTGATATGATTAAGTCTTAATCCTGCCAGTAGGGTATGTATACACACATGTACTCGTTTATGTATGTCTGGACAGACATATATATTCATTTATGCATACATGTATATATATGGAAGAACTGTTTTTGGAATTTTACATTTTCACTCTTTCCGTTCAAACATGTGCACCAGACATTTGCAGCATGATTCAAACTCTTGACATCATGACTGAGCATGATGTGCCTTAACTAGTAGGATGACTCCAAGATTATATGGAAGACATTTTTCTTGCTTCTGTTGGAGCAACCATAACTCCTAACAACTCCTGACCTCTGGACCACTGGTTGGTAATCTTGTGCATGCATAGTAAGTCCAACTTATTATATCACATCTGCACCTTTTCATGTCACTTTTTAATTCATATGCATCCAAAGACAAACTCATGATCCAACATTTGGTACATGATGCTAGCATGTGCACTGAATTTGTATTATCATGGTCTCAGTGCAAGCTGTTAAGATGCCTAAATGTTGACCCCTCTAGTTTGGTCTAGGCCAAATGCTGGTTGCACAGGCAGGAGCCTGGAAAAAGTACGGATAAAGTAATATAAATTCTACATAAAATTAAGTAAGTTTTAACAGTTAAATAAAATCTTAATTTGAAAATAAAGTATACATCATACGCAATTCTCCCAAATTGACTTTCCAATGGAGACCACGTAAGGAGCTTTTCATCCATTGTTTCATGTTGAACACTTCAATTATAATCCCAGGACTTATTCACTTCAATCTCTTTTGCATGTGGTTTGATGAAGGTTATCACTTAAAATATTAACATAAATAGGTGCAGAAGAAAAAAAGGGAAAACATATCATAATAATCACTATAAGGTACGAATCATGGTTGAAAAGGCAGGCATACTAGAAGATTTAACAAATTGGCATTGTTCTTATTGTATGTCACACAAATATGTAAAACAATTATTTTGACATTGTAGCTTGTTCCAAAAAACACTATATTGCACATGTTTACTCACAATTATAACTATCTGTATTTTTTATCTATATTTTGATTCATATCCTATATTAATATTTATTTGATATAAGTGACCATATCATGTGTATATTATTATGTGCCGAGTAAGATATTGTTCTTCGAAGGAGTTACTGTCATTTGTTGTTGCATTAACCATCATGTATGCTATGAATTCTTGATTTTCAGTACCGTGCAGATTTTCCAAGTGGCTTGCAGAAACATGCAGTGTTTGTTGACATTGCACTAAGTTTTCATCAGATGGCAGAAAATATTCTTCAAAAACAAGTTCAATTAGTTGTTAGTAGTTTGAGGGAGGTATGGTTTCACAGTTTATTGATTTCACTCCCATATCTTGATTGCATCTTTTTTACCTGATCCTTCATGGTCTTCAGGCTATTGATGGAGCTGATGGTTTTCAGAATACCCATCAACCACAGCATTATGAATCAGCAAAATTTGGTCTAGAGCAGGTATATCAGTTCAATATTCTGTGTTATGCGACATTCTGTTCCTTCATACTTGGCCAGGTTATATGATATCACAAAAATCTTTTGATGCCAGAACTTTCATAATCTTATTGAATTTCCTAATCTTATGAACTTTCATAATCTTTTGATGCATTTTCAGTGCTAACAATTTTCTTTGTTTTTATAAATTTTATTTATATAATATCTTAGACTATTCAAATGCACATCGCCTGTCATATAATATAAATGTGGATATCCTGTATTTTGTACTATTTCAAAACATTGGATGAGGGCACGATGTGCAAAATAAGTTTACTTCCATTTTTAGCTAGGTTTCATGGGTTCTATGTGGAGTTAATCTTCATTCTTTTTTTTTTCCTTTTTAATTGGCAAACAGGGAGGAGAGATGAGGGGGCTTGAAGGGTTGGAACAATTATGAACGTCTGACCCTTCACAACCATAACTGAGGTAATCTTGAGTTCCATGCCACGATGTGGAAGAGAGCTCTTTTCTAGAAATATCTATAGAGAATTACTTGAGGTCTAATAATTATTATAAATATTAGGAAAAAATCAAGAATGTCGTTTGGTCAACCTAGAAGCATGGGTAATTACCAAATTTACGTTGTACTGGTGAACAATAATGCATCAACTAAGCAACTGTACTTACCAGTAGCACTTGATGTTAAGGTTGAGCATACACCAGGAAACAGCCTAATTTAAGTAGGACATTTACTGGTTGTCAACAGCAGTTGTGGTGTTCTTTATAGGCACACGAAGCATGCCAAAGCATGGACATGAGGTGCAATAGTACAATCAGATTGTCATATCCCATAGGCAAAACAGTTCTACGTAAGTGTATGACTCATGCGCTCAAGTGCAAGTCATTTTCATATACACATTTATGAAAATGAGTAAGTAGCTAGATATTTCATTTATGAAATTTATTCATTTTCATAATAAAATGTCTCGGTTCTACTTATTCATTTTCATAAACAGCTCTAATGAACAGTTCCACTTAAGTCTATTTATTTTGCTATTAACATAACCACATTTTCATGGTTGAAAAGATAGTTCGTAAGGTTCATATTGTCTTGTTCTTAACTGGCTACAATTGATTTCTCAGCCATATGACAAGATCACTAGCAGTCTTGCTGGAAGTCAGCAGGGATCAAAGAGGAGTGCAGATGGAAAAATAACAGAGCTTTTGTCAACACAAAACCTTGGGGTCACACCAAGTTCACTGTCACTATCATTAGTTGACGCCTTGCAAGTCGCTGCCAAGCATGGTTGCCAATCTCAAGGTCAAGGATGAGTCTTGAGAGAATATGAGAGAGTAGGAAAGAATAAATTAGGAGTCTTAATCACCAATTACCCATATGGTGATCGCACAACCACAACGGGACCGCCGTGCATGCTGTTGGAAACTTTGGATAGAGAATTACTAATAATGGGAAAACTAATCTTAATGTAGAATTGTAGATACATATAGTTAAATCTTTAATTATTTGGAAATTTTGATATATATTATACACCATCAAATACTATTCTTTTACCTTTGAAAATAGCCTTCAATATCATCATTTTTTAGATATCTTTTAGTATATATCTTTTTTAATTGTTCTTTTTAATCTTTTAGATTTTTTATTATGTTAATAGCAAAATAAATGAGTAAGTAGCTAGTAAACAGAAGTCATTTTATCAAAAAAATAATTTTAAATAAATCTGAGCCCAAAAGATGTGTTTATAATTTATATGTCATTAAAATGTTTCAAACTTAAAAATTTTAATTTAAACTTGTAAATGCATTCTAAAAATCATTTTTAGCAAAATAACACTAGATTTTGAAATTTTGTTATTTTTGACAATATGATGGTTCAATAATGTGTCAACCACGAGAACCTATCGATATAATTAATTATTTCTGAAAGAAAATGTTATAAACATTGAAAAGGAAAAAAGTTTACATTATTTTTGAAAAACTGGTGCCTTGTTTTGCTCAGGCAAACACTTCTTCTGTGCTTCTCACTTCAGGTGATTATGAGATTTTGTGCCTTGAGAGTGCTCTTTGCCTTTGGCCAACATGAAAAGTCTTAATTAACTTGGAAAAATCTCATTTTCATGTACTAGATGTTATATATCTTGTAAATGTGAACGAACTCCTATTGGAAAGGTAAATTAAGATTATGAAGAACATCAATTGAGCATTGATAACTTAGGTAGCCATAGAATAAGAACTCTTCCAGTTATTGGGGATATAAATCATATTTAACCTTTATTTTTAGAGAAGAACTCGAGCCTTCATTTCTTGTTCTGTTGCGTGTTTATTTTCACATTATCATGTCACTAATTATGCTTATTTCCAAATTTGTGCTAACATTTTCGTTTTGATATTTGGCAAATTTTGTGCATTGAATACAGAAACCTCTAGGCCTTGTAAAGTTTTAGTCTTAATTATTTGCTTTGATAAATTTAGTCGGATGTTCTATTGGTTATGCTTTTCAACCACATTATTTTGACCTTTTGTATCACTATTAAGAAAATTTTGTCAGTATGTTTTTACTGGAACTACACTTTGTACTTATATTTTCTTGTGCCAATAGGTTATTTTTATTATAGAGAAAGCACATATTATGTGGGAGCCACTCATGCCAGCTTCAACTTACAAGAGAGCTATGTGCTCAGTAATGGATTATGTCTTTTCTGGAATCACCAGAGATATGCTGCTTTTAGATGATTTGGCAGCTGAGGAGACTTTACAGGTTCTCTTGCTAGCCTCTGTCTATATCAATGTAAGCTGTGTTAATATTATATATCACTAAATTTCTTCACTTGGTTCAAGCTACAAAGACTGATCCAGATGATGCTAGAGAATCTCTCTTCTTTGTTTGAGTCACTTATTGCTGATGTGGATGAAAAGGAAAGGTTCTTGAATCAGAATACGTGGAGTCAGTTAGACAAGATGATGTCATCTTTACCTAAATTCCGCAAGCTTGCAGGTATTGGGTCAGATGTAAATGTGATTATATGCTGACAAATTTTATGTGACACATGATGAATGTGAAGTCTCTGTACCTATGTGATGTTCTGTTTCTCAACTAATGCAATTTATCTTGCTAGAACTGTATGATATGCCGTTAAAATCAATCACCGCAACATGGGAAAGTGGAGAGCTTCTCAGTTGTGGCTTTACATCATCTGAGGTATATCTAGTATAGCATTCTGTGTTAATAAGTTTAAAGTTATGTGTCTAGAAAGTCATTCGCTGATGATTCTTCTAAAATTTTTTATATTTCACATATGAATTTATCATGATCGCTTGACATGATAAATCATGGTTGTCCTGGCATATAAATTTTATATCTGGGCATGAGATTCTGTCATTTAAACATTTCTTCCTGGCTTTAGTTGATTGAGGGAGCACATCCAGTTTACCGGATCTGAACTAAAGAGACTGTGTTGTATATGATACAGTTGATTCTTTTAAATAATTTCTAGTTGTATTGGACAGAACTCTTTTCCATTCTAAACTTAAAGTATGCTTCCCTTATATTCACCTAAACTCCAGAAAAGTAATTTACATGACAATGACTCATGGCACGAAAAGAATTATGATGTTCAGAGTCCAATATTAACAAGTTGTGGTCAAAGTATTTTTCGTTGTAATTTCTATCAGGTGGAAGTTAGATGAATACATGCTATCTATTGACTGGTAAGAGAGACAACCCATTGCCCTACCAATTAAGGACATCTATTTACTGCTGAAAGATGTCCAGATAATCTTAAATTTAAGGCTTTTTATAGGTTGACTATGACATGTAATATCTGTTGCACATACTGTAACACCAGTTTGATATGTGGTTCTCCTTATAGTTCTTCCTGAGGCTGATATTAAAAACAAAAAGCATGGGCATGTGTGAGTTACTTTGCTTCATCTTGAGGGCAAACTTAGGCAAGAGAGAGACTTGTGCAAAATCCTAAAAGTTGATGATAGGCAGGTAGACATCCTTACCTGACTGGTTGCATTTTAAAGTTTGTGCAACCAAGGGTTAACCATTTGAAGTTTTTCTAGACTTGGAAAAAGTCAATGGGAAGAGCAGATAGCAAGCTTTGACATAAGGATCTAAAATTCATGCCAAAGACAAAAAAATCAAGCCAATGAGCCAATGAAGCAGAAATCCATTCTAAGTATATTATATGACTTGAATTTAAGATATTTACAGTGACAAGTATTTCATTTAGTGAATTGGTTTCTTGTTTCATTTTAGTTTTTCTATCTAACAGATAAGTTGGTCCTTTTTGAGTGACTATATAGCTTAGTATTGTTTGGTGTACACATCGACTTGTATTTACCAATCTGATCAGGCACTGGTGATGGACTATATAACTCGGTATTGCTTGGTGTACTTTTCATGTTTATTATCTTTCCAGTGATGTCATGAAGTATACAATGATGTACTGCTTGATGAATCGGTACCATATTTATATATTGGGACTAGTATTTGAAATCTTGCAATGAAATTTCAGTTATTTTGGTATGTCTTCACGGGGAAATTAGGAAAAATAATGGAATCTGTAGCTAAGGTGATCACTCAGGATTTATAGATGATGTCCAATATTGTAAGGCTGACTTGAAAATTTTTAAACAAATATGACACTTGAGAAATTTCACGGATTGGTAATATTCTTGAGATTGGAAAATATAAGCATCTCAGTTAGATCAAACTTGAAAAATATTTTTTTGATACTTGGGTTATGCAGATTTTGAGCCCCTCCAATGTGAGAGAATGTCATGATCCATATGGTGAAGCAAGATTTTTATTTGTGGATACCATGTGAGAGAATACCATGCGTGCAGAAACGCTAGCAGAAAAAGTGCAAACTCTAATGTTAACTCAGTATATGATTTCTGGAGAGTGAATCGTTGTGACATTTCACATTGCCTATATATGTTGGCATTGTGGAGTTGCCTATCTAATGGTTTAATTTACATCTTATTGGAATGATTTCAACATCATTTACCCCTGTAGTCAGTTTTCAAAATGTATGATGATGCTTACAGTGACATGCATCTACATAAACCGGAAATTACATAATTGGCCTTGAAATGACCCATGAATTGGCTTCCTTCTATTTTAAGCTAAAAAATAGTGAAAATATGCTATTAGTTGGATGGATGTTTCTCACGCAACATGAAGTAGCTCCAACTGACTTGGTTGCTTAAATTGATGTTAATTTGCCATAACTTGTGTATCTTATAAATTCTGTTTTGAAGATGAATTTTTATGCTTGTACTCTCATTTGGGAGAAAATTATTGTAAAATATAATACTCTCTGGCTTTTGCAGGTGGAAACTTTTATCAAAGCAATCTTTGCAGATTCCCCCTTGAGAAAGGAATGTTTGCAGAGAATAAAAAGTGCAAGTGATTAGCTGATTCTTATTTTCCACCAAGACTTAACCAGACTGTTTTAAAGGTCAGTCTTCTTTTTCTTGGCAGAACTTATCTTGATCAGTATGTTCTTTATGGTTATAGTTAATGTACAGGAGCACATATCTGCTAATGGGGCATTTGAATTGATGCATGAGTATTTGGTAACTCATGCATGAACAAGTGCCTGATCTACAAATGCTAGATGGCTTCTTTGGATGCCTCATTTGCAAATGTTGCAATTGTTGATGTCTGAACTCTTGCATTTGGGGGTTGTGCTTGTTGTTAGGAAAATTGAGTAAAGTTAAGAAAAACGTTTTCTTTTGGTGGCAGATTTTTATTTTTGACAATGTTCAAATGCTTAAGTATAAAAAAGCATAGGAATATTTTTTATTTCAGTATCTTTTGAGTAACACAGTGCTTAAGTATAAATATTATTATTATTATTATTATTATTATTATTATTATTATTATTATTATTTAAATATCAGTGCATTCCTTTAATATTTTTCCTTTGCTTGACGAAATGCTTGATGTGTTAACATGTGTGGATACATGCATCCAGGGATAATGCAGCAGGAAAGCAAACACGCCATGCATTGTGGATCCATTCATCTAAATCAACTGCATATTACATTTAGAAATCTGAAACATCTTACTTTCACAAATAACCAGAAAATTTTAGCATTTATATTATTCTGAATATATGGTCGTGTAGGAAGTTCTTAACTGGCCGTGATATTGCTCAGGAAGCTCCTATATGTCGAGATCGTCGTGGACTATGACACTGTTTTGTAGCCTTTGGTATGCTTCTAACTTGGGCACTAAAACGAGGCAACCACCAACCAGCAGGGCTCAGTGAAAAATTGATGGTTTACACTCTGGTCGAGAGGCAAAATATAAGGATCTTAAGATTACTAGGTTTCCTAATGCTGTGTATTATTATTATAGGATGTAGCCATCAAGTGTGACGAGTTTTGTGCTATGCACATGCTGCCCAATTTCTTGTGTTTCCATTGCTGCAGATGTTCAGTCATGCCATCTTTTTTGTTGGCACAAATATTAGTATTATCTGTTTATTTCTTTGGCTGTACTTGAATTAAACAAGCAATTATATTGATGGAGTACCAAATATATACGTAATTGATTGATCATATCTCATATGACTCTTTAAATCGAGCAACCTAACTGTGTTTTTGTTCTCAGTTAAATAGCTACTGCAGGTGGTTCTGTTTATGTTTGAGAGGAGCCCTATTTCAGTGTATATTAGGTATTTAGTTTGACATACACATCATATCAAACCAAGCTAATTGCTACAAGACTTGTAGGCAAGGTTCACTTGCAAGTAACTGCTAACAATCATACATCAACTAACATCAACACATCTTTGAAGAGAAAACCATTAGCATAACTTGGATACTAATTGTCACCAAAAGTTATGTACCTTTGATTCTTTGTATTAGTAATGACCGATCAGTTGCAGGTTTCACCCGCAGAAAACAAAAAGAGTGCTCAGCTTCATTGCAGACACAAACATCACCATAAACACTTATTTCTCCTGCTTGGCACATTCAATGGACACAAGAATCTGAACAAGAATGAGAATAAAATTATATCACAAACGACTGCTGCCAAGTAGCAGTTGGTATTTTTGCTTCGATAGCTATTGACAGTAATCTAAAAGTATGCCTCGTCTGTGGAAAGTTGATGAAGGTTTGTTTACTTGTTCGATGCAAGCGAACCAGTATCAGCTATAGTGGGAATCTCTGCAGATTTATGGACAGGAGTTCTAAATCGTACAAGGGATTTTCTCAAAAGCTGCCATCTGTTTGGTTTGAATTGACCCAGCAACTTGAGCTGCTCTCGGCGAAATTTTCGATTGGCATACCATGATCCACTGCGCCAACCAAGTCCGTAGCTGCATTTGAGCAATTGCAAAGACAAGATGTTTAATACGTGTGCAGTATTCCGACATAGCAACAAGCCATATAGCCCACTTATTTACTTCTGGACAGAAAGAAATGTGTTCTGCCATTGGCATCTGTTAACGACGAGCAGAAAAGAAAAGAAAATGCAAGTTCATTCATAGAGAAGAACTACACAACCAAAACCATTTGCTACAGTACAAGTTTATCGAAAGAAACATACTGCCACAGTGGCATTGCTCCACTGCATCCTAGTGGACCAAGATTCAGATCATAAGAACAGTCTTTGCTTGCAGGAGTAATACATTATATATTGGCCCTCAAAAACTGCACCTGCAGGTGCCTCACTTGCCAGGCCACAAGTAAGGTTCTATTGCCATAACAAATATAATGTTTCACGTGTTGCCAAAAGAGTAGGACACTGTGGATATGGATCACAACGAGAACGTTATTTTTCAGGTTTCTACAAACTAAGATAGACATAAAGATAGACCATGTTAAAAGAACATGCTGCTTATATTTCCAGGGTTATGGTTTTCATGCCTCTCTGATTGCAGGACTGCATTTGAATAGCTTCCTGAGGTTATTTTGCCTAGGACATTAATGTTGAGGTAATTTGGATCAAGTGAGAAAAGCTTTGTTGGGGATCAAATAATTAGTAAGCATAGATGCTCCAAGAGGAATACAATGACATTTCTCAGAGATCATGTTAATGCAATCTGGAACCAACCACTAATGTTCATTATTTATGACAATGAAGTAATACTGAGTGTCAGGCATCAGGTAGAATATTAAAAATAGCATACAAGAAGATAATTAGGAACAAACCCGATGACAAGAGAAGTTCCAGCTACTGCAACGCAAGCTGAAGTGCTGATGTTTCCAGAACTTGCAATTTTTTTAATCTCCTCATGCTCAATCTTATAGCTATTTTTCAACTGAATAACAAGAATACTTTCCAGTTTAGAAGATCCTTAAAATTCATTCAGTAAAAGCTTAAAACATAAATGATAAAGGTTTTCACAGAGCTACATGACATTTATTGAACATTATGACCATGCACAAAGAAAAAATGAGATAAATACTGTTAATTTGTGATCAGACTAATTTAAGCCATAGATGCACACAAGAATAACCTCAGCATATATATGTTAAGGCACAATACATATCAGAGTATGTGGTCATGTGGAGATCTAGAGATTAATGTCAATATTTTACTGATTATACCGACAGGAGCAAATGGAAAACATGATATTGAAAAAGGAAATGGCTCTCATACTAGAACTTGAAGCAGATGGAAAAAGAGGACTGCAGAGCTACATGACATTTACTGACTTGAATAGAATAAACCCATTCAATCATTATCTCACTCCCCTTGCTCCTAGTATCAGTAATATCAGACTTACTAGGGTTATCTTATTCTGCTCAATTGTGCCTGCCATTACACATTATGGAAGATAAACTGGATCAAGGTTTTAAATGCCACATTCATTCTGCCCATGCTGATCAGAGAATGTTATATCAAGTGGAGCCAACCCAACCATGAAGTACCTCATATATCTGCCAATGCATATATATTGGCATATCACAAGCAAGGTTCGCAATACCGTACCGTACCGGTATTTCGATCTGGGCTCAGTACCGGTACGATACGGTATACCAAGTGGTACACCCAGGTGTACCGAGTACGGTAGCACTGCTATAGTGCTACAGTACAGTACAACAGTACTCTCGGACCGGTAACAGTCGGTCCACGTACTAACAACCTATCGGACCGGTACGTACCGCCTGTACCGGGCGGTATGACTCCGTACGACAGACCCTGATCACAAGTAAGGTATGCAATTTCGTACCGTACTAG